AGATGACATGGAGAATGCTGGATTTCTGGGTTTGGCCCAATCAGGCAAAACTCACACTGACATCACAAAAGGCCACATTTCAAGACTGTTGTATACATGTTGGCTTCCATGGAAGTTCTGCCCAGGTAATGCATACAGTCATGCAGGAACCCTTCAGGCACTGACACCTCTGCACAATTGGGTCATGCTGTTTGATCCCTATTCTCTGCCCAGTTCAATCCAGCATATCTGGCAAAGAGTGCTCTAGTAATCTAAGGAAGGACGATGGTACGATGCTCCCCACACTATCCTGGAGGCCTTCACCCTCTCTTATTGAGGACACTCAGTATGACGGACCTGCTCAGTCCTATCAGACAAACCAGAGGAAATGATTCCTAAAGGAAGCTGGTAGGTCTGTTTTTGAGATGACTGTAGATACTATTCTTCTCCTTTCCTTGTTATATACAGTGGTAAGGAGCATAAGCGCAAACTGGAAAAGCAAGAGGATTCCAGCTGCACAGAGCAGTGGGAGAGAGGAGCAGAAAAAGGAAGATTACATGGTAGAATCGGAAGTTGAGATCACTGGATCTACAGATGGATCAGGAAGGATTTGATATCAGCCACTTTCTAAATGGGATGTTCTTACAGATGTGAACAAGGGAGCAAGTGTGAAAAGTTAAAATCAAAGAGAGGACCCAAAGGTAATTGGGGAAGACCAGGTCAAGAGGACACTCAAAGACAAATATGAAGTTATAGCACTGTTGAAAAAGCAAAGATGTGAGGGGTCATAAAACAACAAGGAGTTTGGTCCAGTTTGAGAATACACCAGGAGGGAGAGATAGTAAAGAAGATATTCTAATAGGGAGGGTGGTGGGGAGAAGAGAAGAAGTAAATATCCCATCTATAACAGCAGGGAACAGGGTCTAATGAGCATGTAGCTCACTGTTTCCCCACAAAACCCAGGCCTGGTTAGGAGAGCCCTTGAAACAACCAGAGTTCGAGCCCTTGAAACATTAGCAATAATTTGAAGCTTAGTACTGTAGATGCTCCAGCAATTTACCAGGCTCCAAGTAAGACACGCTAGAAAGCAGAGTTTAGGGCTTCAGGATCAGATTTTCCTAAACTCAAACCTAGACAGTTTTCATTCACATAGCAGCTGCATGCAGACATGCCACTTGGATATTTTGAGCAAGGTACCACAGAGGCTAAAAACAAGAAAAAAAAACTTTAAATAGTCTAGTAGCATTTTAAAGACTAAAAAAACATGTAGAAGTCCAGATAAAGAATAAATGGGGGAGGGGGGGGGGGGGGGGGAGAGGGA